AGGCAGAGTAAAAAAACTCCCTGCTGAGATCTATTAAATAACAAATATAGTTTGAACATGCGATTAGGTTTAGAGTTTTGAATCAAAGGTTTTTTAAAAAAGATTTATTTTAATAATTTATTTCATTTCAAACAAAACTTTTGAAAAACATTTTATTTATTATTTAAATTTTGAAATTAATGAAATTTTTTGTTTAACGTCGTTTCTTTTTCAGAGACATGGAACGAAAACTTAATTTAAATTCTAATTATAAATTGCCTAATTATAATTTTATTTGTCAGCCGCGAGTAAAGAAAAAAAATGGAGCAGGATAAACATGTATTATAAGAGTTTTCATGCATTTTTATTATGAACCAATCGAATTTTTTAAGACATATCTAAACGATAAATTATTTCAAAGATTTTTTGCACACTGCATTAGTACATCAATAGAACATGATTAGATGGTCCCAGGAATTTACTAAATATAAATTTATAGAGCACCAACCTTTTCAAATCAAGTTAGATAAGTGTTTTTTTATCGCTAATCTAACTTGATTTATCACTGCTATGTTCTTTATGAACTTTTTTTTTTGTAGAAAACACTAACATATTTAACATTGGATCAATGTCCAATCGTTAACCTCATATCTGTTAAAGGATATTCCCCAATGTTCGGATTTCCTCGCAAAATTACAAATGGTGCACTTGACTGTATTAGGGTAGGTCAAAACACTATATTAAGTATTTGAAGTATTCAATGAATATAAACTTTTGTTGATCTTGAACAATTACTTTTCTCATTTTAAAACACTAAACTTAGCAATTGAGAATGGAATAGTAATGTTATTATTCTTGCCACACTGTAACCATAATTTTCAGCAAATTGAAATCTCAGCATTTACACTTTTCAAATTACTATTAAGTCTGCAAGGTTTTTAAAAATGCTATTTACCCATACAATGTTACATCTACATATAAATACATCTTTGCTGATGATGTTTTCTTAACATGAATTGCAGACTGTTTAGAACAAGCAAATTGTCTGAGATCTATAACACCAAACCCAATTCAGAAACACGTTTAACAATAATCTGCAGGTCAATCTGTTAAAGATAATATTGATACCTAAACAACGTTTCTTATTCCTAAAACTTCTAATGCATTTTTTCAGGAAACTGTACGACCTTACACAAAGGCACCCTTTTTAATATACCTAGTATATTAGCAAAAAGTCATGAAACAAACAAACAAAAAAATTAGAAAATTTAAAAGCAAGTGCAGAACATGATATGCTAGCCTTGCATGCCATGAACTTATTCTGAAAGTTTAACTGAAGAACATAAAATCCAAAGCTAAGTTTGCAAGTTATGGTCTCGCTTAAAATGTGAATGTTATGCTGGTAAATGGTATATTTGTATTAATTGCAAAATGGACATTAAAGGCTAACATTTATTTATAAATATTTCATATTTCAATTGTTGATGAAGTATTTTTTTTGTTTAAAAGTTTATTGAAGAAATTGTGTTTTTAGATAAGTAATAATTTACTTTTTTTTTAAATTTTTGCATCAGAATAATTAGTTTTTTTTATAGTATTTTATAGAGTCTTCAAGTATTTAATTTATAACAAAAGCAAAACATGTTTATAACAAAAGCAAAACATGTTTATAACAAAAGCAAAACATGTTTATAACAGGTTTATAACAAAAGCAAAACAGGTTTATTAAAGAGTTTATGGTGGTCACGGGTAAGCATTAATTTGTTTGTTGCTCAATTTGTTTAGCCACTCAACTTTTCCCGCTGGGGTTGGTTGAGTGGCTGTGTGGTTAACATTAGGCATGATCTCTTATCAAGTAAATCCGAAAGCATTTTTTTCTCAACAAATTTTAATGTTGTTATTTGCAAAAAAGATTATGAAACCTGGTAAGTTTCAAAACCTTTTTTTTTAACACATGTTAAAAGAAAAAAGGTTTTGAAACTTACCAGGCGTAGCTCACAAAGAAAGAACTAAAGGTAAAAAATATATTATAAAAATCAATATTGCAATCAATGAGAAATTTGTGCGCATTAAAAAGAGTTGTCGAACTTACCTGGTGTAGCACAAGAGGTAGATACTAAAATTACAAAGTTGTAACAAAAAATCAATATTACTGCGACTCAGCACCATTGCTGAAGTATTTAACTTTATTAACAATAAAGTTAAATACTTCAGATTATCTGTCGAATAGTGAAATAATTTAGTAAACTTTAATTTATAGTAAACAACGTTCAAGAAATCTGTTAAATTCAGTAAAAACTGCCCACTCTAATCTATCAACACCCAGCCCATCCAATAGTAAATATCGACAAAAAATAAAAACATAAGGACCCACTACATATAACATAAGGACCCACTATAAACCTCGAAAGAGTTAAACATTTCACAAGTGTTGATACAAAACTTGCTGAAAAAAAATAACCACACTAAATTTATTTTATAACCACAACATTTATAATTGATTATAAATGAAAGAACTTTAGTGTTTCAGGAAAAATCCGTTTATTAAAAGTTTTATAATAAAGTTATAAAGGTTTTATAACTTATAAAACTTTCAACAAAACGAAAAGTTTTATCTGTAGCACTGTCTGAAGTCTGAAGTCAGTGTAGCACTAAACTTGAAAAGTTAAGCAGCAATTGCAGTTTTGAGTTACATACTCGCTCAAACTTTATTATTTTAATGATAATAAATATTTAAATAATATTGAAATAAAGATGTTGTTAGCTCTTTGAAAACTGAAAAACTTAGTAAATTGTAACTTTTGGATCTTCCATTTCAAAAGGCTGCCGACCCCGGGTTTATACAACTTCTAGATTATTAAAAATAACCTTTCCCTCTCAATTAGATCTAATGTTAAAGTAAGAAAAATTTTATTAATTTGAAATATATTTATAATTTAAGCGTGTAAGATGTATACTTTTTTGTTAAATATGTTCTTAAGTTAAAAATTAAAAATTTGTTCATAAGTTTAAAGTTAATTTTTTCATACCTTTTACTTTTATTCACTTTTTGTTCCTGATGTAAACTAAAATTTTAAAGGTTACATTGATGTAAAATAAAATTTTAAAGGTTACATTGATGTAAAATTGTAATTAAAATAAAATTTAAATAATTTTAAACATTTTACTTTTAATCAATTTTTTGTTTATTTGAAACAATTTAAAATTTTTTGTTTTTCTTTTCTAATTTAATTTAACTATTAGAGGGGAAGAAAGAGAGAGAGAGAGAGGGGCGGGGAGGTAAACAAATGTTGATGTAACTTTTCAGGGAGAAGGTCTCTGGAAGTTTGACAAATTGTTGACGACAATGGGTTATACACAAACCAGTCTGGTTTTCGAGTCTTAAAAATTCAACATTATTAATAAAAAATAATGCTTTTATTATTAAGGAGTAGCGCACCTGCCTCAGAAGCGTAAGATCCGTGGTTCAAACCCCACCTCTAGGCAATTTTGGCGACAACAGTTGGGAAGGATGCGTGAATTTCCTATTAAATGCTCTTCCGCTGTGTTCTGTGATAAGACCGTAAGGACTTCTTGGGGCACCTTAATTAACAAAAAAAAAAAAAAGGGAATCTGAAGCATTATGTATTATGAGTGGAGTTCCGCAAGAGCCGATTCTTAATCCATTCCTGTTTTAACTTATGTTAAACATTTTAAAAATGCGTTAATAAAGCTAATCTTGATAAAGTTTGCTGACGACATAAATCTTTCAAACAATGACATCAGCAAGTTTATTCGGAAATGAACTTTAAGTAAAAAAGTTATAACGCATGGTTAAAGACTGATTAAGACCATTCAAAGTCGTTAAATTCCTTCAAGTTTGAGGTCTGCTAATCTATTCGGAAAACGTCCGGTTACAAAGCTTTTTATTTTATTGAAAAGTCAAAATGTGCGCGTAAAATTCGCAACGTTTTATACGGACTAGAGAATAATGGGCAAACTTTTTAGTGCGGAAAAGATTTTAATGTTTATTAGATCTGATGGTATTCAAAATGTTAGATATCAACGACCCAAAGCGTGCTTCAAACCTCCCAAGAGTTTTTTCAAACACAAAAAAAAAGTGTTTTTCAAATACAAAAAAAATGGCTTTTGCAAAGCCGCGACCTCTAATCTAATCGAATATCTATAGTAACACCTCGATAAACAAATTTCTGGTCAAAATCCAACAATTAAACATGATTTAATTGAGGTTCTTATACAAGAAAAGAAAAAAATTGACGTTGATAAGATTATGAAGTTGTGGACTCATTTACCTTGTCGTTTTAAAACAGCAATCTTAGGCTAAACAGCTAGGGTTTCCCGACGAAAAATTAAAGCAAATTAGTTTAAAATTAAAATTAGTTTATTTAAATAAAAATGTTTTAAAAATAAATTTTACTCTAAATAATTTTTTTGTCCGAATACTTTGGTACGTATTTCAATAAACTTTTAAGATTAGATTGCTTAGATTTGATAAAAATTGTTTTTAATTATAAAATCAATTTTTTCACATTCCAGTGAAAGTTTGAAAAAAATGAGACTCATTCAACTGTTATGTCGAACTATGCTCTTGTCTTGTTTATATATATATATATATATATATATATATATATATATATATATATATATATATATATATATATATATATATATATATATATATATATATATATATATATATATATATATATATATATATATATATATATATATATATATATATATATATATATATATATATATATATATATAATGAGTATAATTATTATTTTTATTATTTAAACACTTACAACATAGCGGCAAGCTACCATTTAGGCTATAATATAAATATATGATATAAATATATTTGTATTACAATGAATATTATTTATTCTAAAAAGTAATTATTATTAAAAACATATTTTTGTTGTGTGTGTCAAGAAAATATGAAGATGGAAAGTTATTTTTAGCACGAATAAACACTTACAACTAAAGATTACAACTTATCTGTATCGCGTTCTCAACTTAGCTGTTTAACGGAGTCATGCGAGAGCAGGTTTTAAATGATGGAAAAAGTGATGATAGCTCGCTTGAACAGCAATCATCGTAGTAATTGCAGAAGAAAGAGATGCAATATTTTAATATTACGGTAAGTTTAGTTATTGTATTGAAATGAAATTTTTCCAAGACGCAAAGAAATAAGTGACTAAATTATAAACTTGTCGACTTTAAAAAAATATAGAATTTCTCAAAAATTTTGTCAATGTGTTTAAATGGCATATAACACATTTAATATAAAAATATAATAGATATGTTATTATTAAAAATAATACTCAATCTATTATATTTTTATAATAATAATATTATTATATTCAGTTATATTAAAAATATAGTTATACAAATATATAGTTATGCAACACAATATAATCCCCGCAGTATCGAGTCCATAAAATCCTACACGTGCGAAAGAAGTGCTATTGAAAGATTCCGTCGAAATGTTTTAAGCGTAATGGAATACATTTTATTATTGTTGTTAAAAGTTTTTAATTTCGTTTAATTTTAATTTTATTAAATTCGCTGATTTATTTACTTACTGAGTTACAATTAACTAAATTACTAAAAAATAAACTAAAAGAAACTAAATAAAAAAAAATAAACTAAATTACTAAGTTACATTAAGTAAACAAAATGAACAAAAATTACACATTGTGTATAGATATAATTTTTCGCGTCCACAACATCTTTTTATAAATGGTTCCATTTGTGCAATGAATGTCGACCATTTGTTTTTTGCTTTGTAACAAAGCAAACTTTGTTGTCTACATATTCTTTTGTTGTGCTCTCTTATAATTGAATTTTGTATAAATATAGGAGAATTTTACCAATTAATTACATTTTAGTTAAACCTGTATAGATTATACAGGTGATATAGTGCAACTATACTAAAGTTGCACTATATCACCCCTCGACCTTCTGTTTTTCTCTTTTTCAATTTCGAAAAAATAATTTTATTTAATCTATTTTCGTATGGTAAACCTTTTAAACTGTGGATAGGAAATGCTCTTTGTTGGACTTGTTCAATCATAATATGTTTTTATAAATGTGAGTTTTATAATCGTTATAGAATCCACATTTACAAAAACATATCAATATGATTCAACAAGTCCAACAAACCTACCATTATAACAATGGTGCTACATATTCAAGATAAGGTCTGACTAATGAAGTAAATAGTAATTGTATATCTATTTTATCTAAATATTTAAAAGAGTGTTTTGTTAGGCCTAATTTTTAGAAAGCTTTATTAACTGTATTGTTAATGTGGTAATTCCAGTTAAGGTCATTTGGTACACACACACACACACACACACACACACACACACACACACACACACACACACACACACACACACACACACACACACACGCACACACACACACTCACATATATACATGTATATATATATATATATATATATATATATATATATATATATATATATATATATATATATATATATATATATATATATATATACACACACAAATGACCTTAACTGGAATTACCACATTAACTATACAGTTAATAAAGCTTTCCAAAAATTAAGTCTAATAAAACACTCTTTTAAATATATATATATATATATATATATATATATATATATATATATATATATATATATATATATATATATATATATATATATATATATATATATATACACACACACACAAATGACCTTAACTGGAATTACCACATTAACTATACAGTTAATAAAGCTTTCCAAAAATTAAGTCTAATAAAACACTCTTTTAAATATATATATATATATATATATATATATATATATATATATATATATATATATATATATATATATATATATATATATATATATATATATATATATATATATATATATATATATATATATATATATATATATATATATATATATATATATATATATATATATATATATATATATATATATATATATATATATATATATATATATATACACACCATAATCTTTATCTAAAGTTGTATTTGTTAGTTTGGTGGCATGTTTTATCTTTAGAATTATTAAGCATCAAGTACTTGTTTTTAGGATTATTTTATCCAATATGCATAACCTTGCACTTGTTTTTATTAAATTTTATTAACTAATTTTTGGTCCAATGGACCATTTTGTTCAGAACTTCTTGTAAATCTTATGTACTGTTGTTATAATCTAGTATAGATTTTAATTTTGTATCATCTGCATATAGTTTACATTGGTTTCATATATTTAACATAATATCATTAATGTATAAAATGCATAATAATGGTCCAATTACCGATCCCTGATGAAAATTTTCAAATAGTACTTGGAGAAATATTTTCTCCAAGTACTATTTGTTTTAACTAATTTTTTTTAGAAAAGTTCTGCACCAGTTTAAAAAATCACTGGAATATCATTGTCAAATGCTTAACTGACAATATCTGTCTTCAAAATACAAATTTATTTAAAAATACAAAAAGAAATTAATAATAAAGTCTTGCGTGTTTAGGTTTGTTTTACATTTGTTACTTCAATACATATTCATATTCAATAAAATTTTTTTTATTTATTTATAATTTTCATATATATTTATGCAGGTACAATTAACACAAATACTATTTTGGTGTTTGATAAAAAATATTTTAAATTAGATTTGCAATCTTTTTTTATTTATGCTTACCAGTGAATGTACAGATGTACAGGGCCTATTCTAGGAAAAAAATCTGTGTTTTTTTCGCGAAAAAAATAATATTTGCCATAAAAAAGTAAAAAAAACGTAAAAAAAAAAAAAGGTACTCAAATTTTAATTTGGGTGGCGCCCAAATACATTTGACGCTGTCGAAAACAGTCTAGAATAGCCACTGGTATATATATATATATATATATATATATATATATATATATATATATATATATATATATATATATATATATATATATATATATATATTTATATATAATTAGTGGTTGTAAACATGACCTGACATTTATATTCAAGAGTACAAAGATTTTTGTAATTTTAGTTTAAAAAAATAAAATTTAAGAGTGTAAAGATAAATAAGTAAAAAAGAAACAAGAAATAAGATATGCTACAACTAAATAATTAATATATTATAACAAAAGCTTTTTACATAAAATAATAAAGTAGGATTGAATATAAAAATTCTAAAAAAACATGAAACATTGAAAAGTTGTTTTAAAAGATTAATTTTTTTATTTATTTAGTTTTTTTAAAATAGTTTCGGTTTTAAGCTTAACATTAATCCAAGTATTTGATCAAAGTAACATAAAAGTGCAACAAGGTTTTTTTAAAATATATTTTAAAGATAATTGATCATCCCTGTAAGTTATTTCATTTTATCATAATTCAGCTTATCCTGAGATGTCTTTAATAATTTTCATTTCAGGTAAAGTTTGCTTTTCATTAGAAAAATTTCCTAAACTTACATGAAGTACAAAACTAGTACTTTATGTAAGTTTTTTTCAAATTAAAAACAAGCTACTAGTAACTAAAAGTTTAGAATAAAAAACAATCTTTTTCTTTTTCATTTTCAAAAACAATCAATTTAAACATCTATAATTATTTTAGATATATATTATTTTAGATGTTTAAAACTTCTAAAACTTATTTTATTTGTGACTGAAATTAATAATATTTTTTATAATTTTTTTTCTTTGCAAAAATTAACGAAAAGCTATAATAAAATATTTTTTGCTGAAATGATTTTTTTATTGAATTCAGTTAATTTAATTTTAAACACTCCTTATGGGCTGTCCATTGATTATGTCAACAATTTTCTGACAATTTTCACCCTCTTCCCTTTGTCAACAACTTGTCAAACTTTTAGAGTCCCCCTCCCCCATAAGAAAATGAAAATAGAAAATAACTTTTAAATAGTAGTAAAAGCAATAGTTAACAACTTCAAGAAAAAATTATTAAAAGTAAAAATTATTAGGAAAAAAAAAAATTAATTTAACTTTCAACTTATGAACATTTTTTAAATATATATAACTATTTAAAATTATAAAGACTTGCTCTGAACAAAAAGTGAATTAAAGTAAAAGTGATTGATGCATGCAACACTCTTAGTTTAAATAAAAAAAAACCTCTTAGTTTAAATACAACACTCTTAGTTTCTTAAATACAACACTCTTAGTTTACTTTACACTCTTAGTTTCTTAAATACAACACTCTTAGTTTCTTAAATACAACACTCTTAGTTAATAAAAACACTCTTAGTTTAAATAATAAAAAAAACAAAAAACTCTTAGTTTAATGCATGATATAAGGTAAAAAAGTAATAGTCAGTAATAAAAATAATCATTCTAGTTATAGAGTTTAAAAGAGAAATTAAAACTTTGATGGAGGAGAATATTCTTTGATGTTTTCCACAATTCTTACTATGATAAAGAGATTGTAACTATTGAAATTTTTGACAAGATCTTCAAGATCTTCTTTCATATAACAAGTTTACATTTTTAAGTTGTTGTATTACATCTAATAATTGCTAACTTAATATAATATATATATATATATATATATATATATATATATATATATATATATATATATATATATATATATATATATATATATATATATATATAATTAATTATAAAATGTTGTTTTTGCTTGGATAACGGTAACATTTGGGTAATGTGGGATAATGGGTAGCATTGGATAATGTCTTTTATAAGCATTTGGATAGTGAAAATATTTTTTCTTGAATAAAGAAGCATGCGGTAGTGGTGTAGTGGTAGAGCGCTCGCTTCATAAACGAGTGGTTCCGAGTTCAATCCCCACCTTGTCCCTGGTAGTACCGCGCTCAACTCGTTTCTCCGCGCAGCGGCCTTGTTCGTCAAGGTTCGTGTTTCGGAGTTATAGAGTTGAGAGAGGGTTATAGCCACAAATAAGTAGCCTCCTCGTCTGTAGTGGCCTTCTCAGCCTTAAGGAGGTGAATTAAAAATAAAAAAAAAAAAAAATTTGATAATGTTACCCAGGTAATAACCAACAGGCAGGTACCAGTGTACCCATTGACAGCATTAGTCCAAGATAATGTTAAATATTTATCATAATTTATCTACAGTGCAGAGTCACAATCCGTGAATGTGCCAACCCTCATAATTTTAACTTTAGACCTAATCCTTTTTCAAATTGAAAGCAAACTATTTATAATAGAGTCTAGTATAACAAAATAATGCATTTGATAATTTGCATAAATCAGGGGTTGGCAATCTTTTAAGACAGAAAAGCCAAAGGGGACGACTGAATAAAAACTGGCATAAGTGCAAATGGCATATGTGCGAATTGGCATAAGTGCAAACTGGCATAAATGCGAAACAGTTACAAAAACTGGCACTAGTGCGAACTGGCATGAGTGCGAATTGACATAAGTGCGGCGAACAAATTTGCAAACATTAGCATAAAACGGTTACAAAAAACGGTACAAGTGCGAACTGGCATAAGTGCAAATTGGCATATGCACGCCAAATAAATTTACAAATATTGGCATAAGTGCGAAGCAGTTACAAAAACTGACATAAGTGCGAACTGGCATAAGTGCAAATTGGTATAAGTGCGCCAAATAAATTTGCAAACATTAGCATGAGTGCAAACTGGCATAAGTGTGAATTGGCATAAGTGTGAAATATTAGTTTGCACATATGCCAATATTCAAAATTTTATTCAGCGCACTTATGCCAGTTTGTACTTAAGCCAGTTTTTGTAACTGCTTCGCACTTATGCCAATTTGCACTTATGCCAATGTTTGCAAATTTGTTCTGCGCACATATGCCAATTTGCACTTAAACCAGTTTGCACTTGTGCCAGTTTTTGCAACTGCTTTGCATTTATGCTAGTTTGCACTTATGCCAATGTTTGCAAAATCTTTTGGCGCACTAATGCCAATTTGCACAAATGCCAGTTCGCACTTATGCCAGTTTTTGCAACGCTTCGCACTTATTTCCGTGCGCACATATGCTGATTCGCACTTATGCAGCCTCCCGGAGCCAAATTTTACAATTTATAAAAAATTTCAGTTTTTAAAGAGCTACTAACATTTTGTTTTCAATATTATAATAGTAATTGCGCATGGAGCTGGAGAGCTGCATTTTAACATTATAGTTTCAGCATCAAATTCGGCTTGCGAGTAGCAGGTTTCTTACCCCCTGGTATAAACATTTAAATAATATAATGTAGGCTATGTTCTTAAATAAATGTTTATTTGTTTTCACAGCAGACAACAAACATAAACTTTGAAAAAGTAATAGTGTTACAAGTAAAGTCTGAGTCTCAATGCAACTAAGGAATGTCAATAATGTCACATTAGATTCAGATTAACTATGGTAGTATTGATTTTTATGCAAGAGTTGTTTTTGCATAAATAGTCATAACTTTTAGCCCCATTCAAAAAACTCTTTTTGGTATTTTATATAATTTTTTGAAATACCTGGGACTTATTTGACCATCTTGAAAAAATAATTTATTTCATTCAGAATGCGTAAACAAATAAATAACAGTGGCGGTAAACTTTATAAACAAATTACTTTTATTTTCAAACTCATTTCGTTTTTGTATAAGTAGTAAACTTAACTTTTGACACTTTTGTTTCTTCTATTTTTATAGCAATAATTTAAAAGTAACATAAGTTACTTTTAACTTATTGTTATAAAAATAATTAAATCTTTGACATTGCTAACACTAACTCGATACAAATAGCTATTATGGGTTCAGTAATGTATTAAGATTAATACTTTTTGTTGTTAGCACAGTGCAACATGAAATATATATTACATAATTTATTCCGCCTGCTTTTAAAAGTACCATATTTTTTAAAAATATACCAACACAAATGTATTAAATTGTAATTAGGTTCATAATGTCAAACAAACACAAGATATCTCTATAATTATATTGATATATCTCCTGCAAAACTTATATTTTTTACAGACGCATTGGTTGTTTATAATATTTTCCAATTATTTGTTAATTCTATGTTTGCATAAAATGGCTATTTTTTTTACGAGTTTGTTTGTTCTATGCCTTAGTTGCATTGAGTTGAAATGCTGTCTTTTTTTAAGTAACTGAATTTATTTAAAAAAATTAGTCAGTGAATGTCAAATTCTTTGTTTGCATAAATTAAATACCAATAAATAAAAAGTTGTTCGGTTTGCCACTAACAACCAATCGGATTTGTTTAAAATTTTTAACAACTTTTATTGACCTCCCCCCCCCCCCCTTCCCCTTGTCTAAAATTGCAAAAAATATTTTAGACCCCCTATTTTGTTGGTCTAATTAATGGATAGCCCCTAATCAGACAGATTTCTCTTGATCTCAAGTCTCTAACCCAAACAATCATTTAGTGTCACTTATTTATGAATGGAAACTTAATTTTTTTTTTGTGACAGTTACCAATCGTTAAAAAACTTTTGTTCATTAAAAATAAAATAAATATTATATAAACAAATATATAGGCATAAAAAACCTTATTTTAATACTAAAATTACATT